CGCCATCTTGGATGATCCGCCATATTGGAATTAGAATGACGTTACATAGCTATCCATTGCATGCATTGTCATCCAAAATAAGCGTTTGTACCTGTGTTATTTAAGCTCAATCAGTTAAAGGTAACCGATTTAAAATTCATTTGCAAGATTCCACCCGGACAAACATACATACATTGTAAGTTAAATTAAAGGTTGTAAAAATTTTAGTACAATCCGCGTTCAAATCCTTACTATCCTTACTTCCTTACTAATATTATAAAGGCGAAAGTTTGTATGCATATACTACTATCGCAGATACTACTGAATGGATTTTAATGAAACTTTCCAATAATATAGCTTATACATCAGAATAAGACATAGGCTATAATTTATATACATATTATGTATTTCTGTCTTTCTGTCTGAATGTTACGCCTTCAGCCTTATACTACACAAACGTAGTCGCGGGCAGCAGCTAGTAATGAATATATGGGAATCAACTATTGATTTCGAATATAACACATAAGTTTTGGTTGCTATTGGTTTCGGGGTGAACATTTTGGAGACGGAACTCCTTTGGTACAGCGCTTAGCCTATTATAATTTATGATTTTTACTTCGTGTTTGAATGTAGTACAGAAATAATTTCATTTTTAAGGAACCCAGACTCGCAATAAAGATATCTATATTTCATTTATCGAATATATCATTGTACTCTCTGATCATAAAATATACAGAATAGTTGCCATCTTATTTTCTGCTATATAAATTTATAACACAACCTTTATTTCTCGGAAACGATCTTCTTTTAACGACAAAAATATTATACATTACAAAATAAAACAGTCTTGTGAGGAAATGAAGTTCTCATAGTCTGAAATTTATTTCAATTAATTAAATATAAACAGTTAAGCCGAATTTTTTTAAATTCTTTTAGCTTTAGTCTGTGCAAGAATCCTATCGCCAAAAACTACAATGCAGCCGGCATTGGAAGTTTTAAAATAATTTATCAACAATCAAAACCGAATGAAATCGTAGGATTAAAACTTGGAGCCACGCTGGTCGCATCTGTGCGGCTGTTACACTAATGGCTTGCGGTGAAATTAGGAACAATGTTAACATGCGCTCGTACATTAATTTTCAAACCTCACATTTTTACAAAAATAATGCAAATTTAAAAGAAAGCAACTACTAGGAATTGATTAAATTTTAATAAACTTCTTACGAATAAGTACACATTAGTTGCATCAGGTCTCATTAGCACTACTCTGTATATTTAGAATTACATTACCGCCTTTCAATTCAAAATTTCGATAGTTATTATTTTTTTTTAATAATTACATCCTTACTATTTCTTCTAGGGGTCTTTCTCTCAGCCCTGTAGTCCTGGGCTCTAGAATAGGACTAAGGTTCTCCTGCCTGTCGTAAAAGGCGACTAAAGGGAGACATGGATTGGCAGCAGCACGAAGTGGCCTCTAGCTGCTGCAAGATGGTGAGGGAATAGGTTTATCCTTCTCCGCGGCTTGCTCACGCCCAGTACAGAGGGACACCGGTGCGTTCCGTAGGAGATCCCGGAGTCCCTCCAAACGTACAGAAGGTGGCCACCGAGGGGGTTTTAGAGGGTAAGAACCCCACATAACCCTGTCATATAATGACAGGGTTATCTTACGAAGATTTCCCCCCCGATACCAAAAAAAAAAAAGGGGGTCTTTCTCTGTCTTTCATCTTTATCCTGCAATGTTCATTTACGCATTTCCCACAGACGGATTGTGATACAATGAAGGTTAAAAATACTCACATAGTACATTTACTTACAAATTTGTTTGTTTATTATCTGTAGAATTTGTAGATGTAATTTTTATGTATTATAATGTGAATGGGTATTGAGACAGTTAGATGGAAGTGTATCGAGGGCATATCACCTTTTGAAAAGAGTCCCTCTTTTTTCGTGAAAAGATAATTAAGCGCTTAGCTTGCTTTCGGTCGCTTTGTTCATCCTCTGAACGTCTTCCAAAATCCAATACACGGGCAGCGTCTCATGTGAAAGGCGCTAATCTCAAGTGAAACTGAATAGACGTGAGACTGGTTTGGAGACGATAGAGTTGTTGCAATAGGAGATTTATTTAATTAGATACTTATTTAATCAAATCAAATCAAATCAAAATCATTTATTCGAAGTAAGATTTTTTCAAACCGTTTTTCGACGTCTTACAATATGTCTTATAATATGTGTCTCTCATGCCGTGCTGGAGTATCGGAACACCAAGCCTCTTTGTCATTTAAATAATCATCTAACTTATAATAAGCTTTTTTAAACAGTGTCTGCTTTACAATAAATTTGAACTTTTTGTCCGGTAGATTTAAAATATCATCAGGAATTTTGTTGTAGTAGCGCACACAGAGCCCCACGAATGAAGTCCTAACCTTAGCTAGTCTACAGCGAGGAAGAACTAAATTATTCTTGTTTCTTGTATTACGGTCATGAATATCAGAATATTTACTAAAGTCATGGATATTCTTCCTAACATACATAATATTAGCAAAAATATATTGACATGGAACCGTGAAAATCAGTATCCTCTTATTTATTTTTTAAGCGAGTCCCTACAGCGAGGTTGATAAATTGCTCTAACAGCTCTCTTCTGCAGAATGAAGATGGGTTCAAATCAGCCGCTCGGCCCCATAGCAGGATACCATAAGACATAACGCTATGAAAGTAGCTAAAATAAACTAATCTGGCCGTTGCTTCGTCAGTTAACTGTCGAATCTTTCTAACTGCATATGCAGCCGAGCTAAGCCTTCCTGACAGAGAAGATATATGGGGACCCCATTGGAGTTTTGCATCAATAGTTATCCCTAAGAATACTGTACTGTCAACCAAATCAAGCCGTTCATTATTCAATACAATTCCTAAACCCTCATTACTTTTCACGTTTGGCAAAGTAAATTTAATACATTTAGTCTTTTTAGCATTCAGTACTAGGTTATTTACAGTGAACCAATTGTGAATTAGTTGAAGAGTGTTATTTATGTCATCGTAGTTACTAGTTTTTCTACAAATTTTAAAAATAAGAGAAGTATCGTCTGCAAATAATACTATGTTTGTCAGATCCTGCACCACATGTGGTAAGTCATTTATATAAACTAAAAATAGAAAAGGCCCCAAAATAGACCCTTGTGGTACTCCCATTTTAAGCAGGGATCCCTGTGAATATGAGTCATTTACGTGTATCTTCTGAATTCTCTGTTCTAAATATGATTTGATAAGTTTAAGTGCACTATTTTTGACACCGTAATGATATAGTTTAAGTAATAAGGTTTCGTGTTGTACACAATCGAACGCCTTTGAAAGATCACAAAAAACCCCTATAGCGTCATAAGAATCTTCCCATGCACTAAAAATATGCTTTACAAGCGCAACACTGGCGTCAGTAGTAGAGCGCCCTTTGGTGAAGCCGAACTGCTTATTATGTAAAAGAAAATTTTTATTGAAATGTGATAGAAGTTGATTCAATATAATTTTCTCAAAAACTTTACTTAATACAGGTAAAATAGATACAGGTCTAAAATTACTAGGATCGCCTTTATCACCTGTCTTAAATAATGGTATTACTTTACTGTATTTCATCAAGTTAGGGAAAATTCCTTCATCTATACATGTATTAAAAATGAGGGCAAGATATGGCGCCAGAGTGTCAATTATCGAACTACAAACTTTGACTGACATTCCAAATAAATCCTCTGTAACCTTTACTTTAATTTCCCTATAAGCTTTAATTACTGTTTTTTTCATTTACATGTTCAAATTTAAAATCAGCGTTACAGGGTTTAACATGATTTTTGAGTGTTGTCGCAGAAAGAATTGGTGAGGAATTCAGCGATGCAGTGGTTTTAATAGGAATATTAACAAAAAAGTTCTCAAATTCTTGAGCTACCTCTAAATTAGAACTTACAGGCCCCTTGTCTAAATTTAGTTTGTAATCACTATCGCGCTGTTTTGTTTTGCCAGTTTCATTATTTATAATATTCCAAACTGCTTTTATTTTATTGTCGGCCATCTTAATTTTATTACTAATGTAAAGGGGCTTTAGCAGTAATGCAAATTTTTTTAGAAGTTTTCGAATAACATTTGACGTAGTCATTAAATTTATCGCTAATTTTATAATTCCTAAATTCGTTCACTCTAGTCGGTCCGTGAAACACGTGACTCAAATTAAATGACTGAAATAAGTGTAATAATCTATTTGTAAGGTTTTCTGTCTTTAAAATATCTACATTGAAATCACCGCTTACAATGACTTGTTTCTTTGTGCTGCAAGCTATTTTTAGGACATCTTCCATAACATTCTCAAAAGTAGGAAAATTGTGATAATATGGTGGCCTGTATACGCACACTACAACATGATTTTCCAGCTCGATACAAGATACCTCAACACTTCGTTCAACCGAAAGTCCTACTATATCCTTGCGAGCTTTAAACTTAACATTTTTACGCAATAATATTAAAGATCCACCGCCTATATTTAAGTGATGATTTGGCTTGCGGTTGAAGGAACTGGCTATAAAATAATTTTCATAGTTAATTAACATTTCGTAGTCTGCAAGCCAGTGTTCAGTCAGACAAACAATATCATATTTATTTTTTTCTAAAAATAATTCTACCAGTAACGTTTTGCTGGAGAAGCTTTGAATATTTTGATGTAGCATCTTTAGAAAGTTATGCTTCTCCGTTGTTTGATTTTTACCTAATTTATTGCAAGAAAATCTCTGTTTGACTGTATTTGTTGAAATAGTTTGACAGAGATTTTCTTTTGTCGAAGTCAACAGTTAATTCTTTACTATCGACCCGCACCGGCTTCGCACTGGTGCAATGTATTATACACATAAACCTTCCTATTGAATCTATCTAGTAAAAAAACCGCATCAAAATCAGTTGCGTAGTTTTAAAGATCTAAGCATACAGTCAGACAGACAGCGAGGCGACTTTGTTTTATACTAATGATATAATCTTAATTGCTGAAAATGCTGAAGACCTGCAACACATGCTGGAGCAACTATATCAGGTCCTTGCGCCTTAAGAAGAATATGGAAAAGACCAAGGTTATAGCGACAGGCGATCTCACACCGAATCCCATTTCATTGAACGGGCAACTGAAGCAGGTGCAGGAGTACACTAAACTAGGACAGGCAAGCCGTGGTCGGGATTCGATGATGCCAGAGGATAATCTTGGGATGGGCAGCCTTAGGAAAGCTGAATTGGGTAATTAAGTAAAAAATTCCCCAATCACTTAAAACAAAAATGTTTAACCAATGCTTTCTTACGGCTATGACATATGGGTGCGAGAAATGGACACTGACTGGTGGGTTTATCCACAAGCTCAAGGTGACGCAGTGCAACATGCTCGGCATAACGTTGCACAACCGAGTCCGGAACGAGCACATCAGACGCCGCACGTAAGTGGTCGACATGGGCCACCGAGTAGCGAAGTTAAAGTGGGCTTGGGCCGGACACATGGGCCGAAGAAAAGAGGAACGTGGGAGCAAGCGCGTTCTGGAGTGGACACCCCGGCTACGCAGAAGTGTGGGCTGACCACCAGCCCGATAGTCCGATGACATTAAGGAGACAGCAGGTCTAGTCTGGACAAGGGAAACGAAGAGTCGTGCCGAATGGAAGAAAATTGGAGAGGCGTATGCCCAACTGTGGGCGAACACACGCTGAAGAAGAAGAAGAAGTGATTGCAATTAACTTACACAAGGATCATAAGAAGCGATCTCAATGCCTTTTGGTATTTCTTTACCAGTAAATCCGGGGCGTGGTGATAAAATTGTGGAACTTATTAATTTAATCCTTACTAATATTATAAATGCGAAAGTTTAAAGTATTTATGGATGGATGTTTGTTACTCTTTCACGCAAATACTATAAGAAACTTTACAAATATATAGCAAATACAGAATAACATTTATATACATATTTTTATGTATATCTATCTTTCTGTCTGAATATGAAGGCGTATTCGGTCTATTCTACGCAGACATAGTCTCGGGCAGCAGCTAGTTATTTATATGCATTGAAAATAAATATATAATTAATACGTAAACACATACAAACATAAAACATAATACAGACATATGAATACATACATATGTATATAATCGTGTAAACGACACTGGCACTTCTTTATTTATATAATTCTTCTGTACGTGTGTGTCACTGAACTTCTAAACCGATTGGACTGGTTTTAATGAATTTTTTTGTGTCTGTAGGTCGATTCGAGAATGGTTTAGAGTTACAAATTTTTTTTATTATGTCGGATTTAAGCCGTGTTTACAGGACAATGTCTGTCCGGTACGCTAGTTTAAGTATAAATCACAGACGTGTTGCTTCAAGTATTGCACGTATTTGCGTTGACAAATTTTTCATGCAAGTGTTGAACATTTTACAAAGGGCTGTTTTTTTTAAAAAAAATGGCTCAATAATAAGTGTTCAAGTTAGATTATGCCGATTAAATACATTTCATTGAGATTTATTTATTATGATCCATATATTATTATTCATATTTTTATCCAACTTTTTTTTACGACCTTTTCTCAATATTTCTATCCTCAAAAGAACAGCAATGATTAAATACCCTCACTCATTGCACAAATTTTTGCCAAGGAAGAGAGAATGCAATTGAATACAAGAATTGCTTAAGAAATTATTGTGTGTGCTGTTTACACCAAGGAAAGTTTTGAAACAAACCTTGAAGCAAGTCTTGTTCAACAGTCAAGAATGTTATGTGCTGTTTAGACAATGCAACTCATTTATTGCTTCAATTTAATTGTATAAAACAGGCAAGAAACTTGCATCGTGTAAATGGGCCTTAAGAGTTTGAATGGTGTCCTGACACGTGAATATGGATGTGTAGGAATAGGTTATTTTGGAAGCAGCCGTAAAAATGTATTTTTCAAAGAATCGGATAGTGTCCTGAGTTAAAAATTGTTTCTTTTTTTCTTTTTTTTCTTTGTTTTAATTTATATTTTTATTCTATCAGAGAAATTATTCTAAAAATCAGAGAAATTATTCAAAATAGTAATTATGGTATATTTAGTTTTAGAACATAATTACTATTTTTAAATCGATAAAATATACAAAATGCCGTAGAAATGTCTCAAGGTACCTATCAAAATGTTTATAATTGTAAAACCTTAAAATATTAAAAGTCCATTTAAAGTTTGGACCGTTAATTAACTGTAAACCTTCTTCACTCTGAATGCTAATACTTAGTCATTGGCAAAATTTAAATTTCATCCGTTGTCTTGAAAGGCGAAATTGGATGGAAGTTTTAATCCAATTAATTTTGTGTTATGATTGGCATTTGTGATGCTCCGACTGATTTCGATGCAGGATTTTTTTCTAATTCGAAAACAAACAAAATAAAGTGCTTGTTTATATTCTGTGACAAATTAATTAAATTAAAAGAAGATGGCAAACGAGCAGACGGTTTACCTGATGTAAGTGAATACCGCCGCCCATGGACATCTGCTACACCCTTTGAAAATTGGGCTCCGGCTACCTCACTCACCAGACGAAACGCGAAAGTATTTGTCATACTTCCACTTTACGCTAGTTTTCTCTGAGGTCGTGGTATTTACCCGGAGGGGCCTGCCTATTCATGCAACAGCCGAGCTTGTTGCATGGCCCTACCACCGCAAACCACCTCTGTCGGGTTAAGGTATTTAGTTGGACGGACCTGCCCATTCGAGCAAAAGAGAAGATTGTTGGTGGTGTTGGCTGCTGCGTAGGCCTACCACAGTTACATTTTTGAATTATTGCGTTTTGACTAATTTTTTAAATGAGATGTTTCATGATGTGTCGTCATGAGAACTCGATCTCATAATTGATTTTGAACTCATAAGAAAATAAATAAACATTTAAAAAAACTTTACAATACGAACTAAAATTCATTTTAATAGCAATGCACTTTTTAAAGGATGCCACAATGAAAGTGTCGTACTATTGAGTATTAACATAAATGTGATTTTTAATGTAAAATTTGTAGGTATTTTATAGACAGTCTTTGAGATTTTGCCGTTAGATCATTGGCCTCTTAGCTTAGTTGCGTCTAGACTTGTTACCCGGAAGTCGCAGTCGGAATTTCCTTAGTGCCATACATTTCAACAAAAATATGGCATTTTAGGATTTATCTTCATTACAGAGACTGCTAAAATGAAAACAACTGCATGAAAGTAACTAACTTATTTCCAGAAAGTTTCATTTTCATATTTTAGTCACCTGTTCTAGAATCACCTCGCGTACCTTTTGAAAGCCTGAACGCCACAAATCCATATTTCAAAATACGGCCTAATCATTCTTGTATTAAAGTGTTTTCAACTCATTGAAGAAATCTATCATCATCATCGTCATCAAATCAGCATATTTGATTCCACTGCTGAACACAGGCCTCCCCCAAAGACTGACACGAAGTATGATACTGAGCCACTTACAAGGAATCAAGGAATCTAGTATAAGTAAAAGGGCACGTTCTTGGCATATTCGTGAGAGTCGTTTAGTGATGTTCAGTTCTTTAAGGATGGAATTGTTTATTTTCATGTCAGTCCTTGGCATCCGCAACATTCTTCGCCAATACCACATCTGAAAAGCATCGACTCTGCTGCTATCGCGACTTTTCACGCACCATGCTTCGACGCTGTACAAAAATATCGAGAATACTAAGGTTCGAGCCTTAGTTTTCTCGATATTTTTTTAAACCAAAACCCAAACGCACCTTAGTCGCCCGACGAACACTTCTTCTTCTCCATATTTTATCGAGGCTAATGGCTAATTATGGCTAACATAGCACTCTTAGCCATACCGGATCTACGGCGGATTTTATAGGCATTATTTTTTTTTCGTTAATCACACTGTTCATTATTTAAATTTATTGAAAATTATTTTATACTTTTTAGTTTGTTTATGTACAATGTTTTTAATGTTTTCAACTATTTTTTTGTAATTAAAAATTTAATAACAAAAAAATATTAAACTATTTTGTTTTGTACTCAAAAGTTCAAGTATAAAAGCGTGACTTTTATTTTTAAACATTTTTTAAATACGCACTTGGTACAAGGATACTACCGGGTATCGAATTTGGAAAATATTTAATATAAATTCAAATCGGATCGTTCAAATTGGGGCAAAATCACGTTTAATTATTCCGTTACAACCATACTCGTACGTACACATACAGGATAAACTAATATAAGCGTGTTAAAAGGCCTAAATCGCAAAACATCTTTGCTAATTAAATTTATGCGAGTAGCTCGTATTTGGTTATTTCACTTACAAAAACAAAAAAGTAACATTAGCATGACGCAAGGTTACGTTTTTTGATGAGAAAATCCTTTTAAAGGTATCTTGGATTACTAGTTTTAGGGAATTATGAGAGTATATTCCTTGCGTAACAACGCAACGCTTGTTAAGTAATCTATGTAATGGTATAATCGTGTTTCATTGTGTTCAATCCAATTTAAACATGAACAAAGATTAATCTACAAAAGATGACGCGAAAAAAAATAAGTAGATCTAAATTTTTCTATACGTCGAAATTAATAAATAATTTTTATTTGTATATTTTAATTTAATCTTAATCAAAGAAAGATATTATGACTGGATAGGGTCACATATCCAGCAAATTAATTAAATTGTTTTCACCATTCTCATCTTCTCAGCCTATAGCTAAATTTATTGTAACTCTAACTGCATACGATATAAATACTTCTGCCGATTCAAAATACAACATATTTTAAATTAAATACTGACACTATAGTCGAGCGTTCCAAACAATTTTGCTGGGTTTATCTTTGTTAATCGAGTGTAAATTTTCCAACAATGATTATAATCCCCAAATCAACATTACCCGCCCACATAGAAACGAGAAAACGGGTAAAGATAATAAGCGGCTCGTATTATCTCCGAAACATATATTATTGCCAAATGTAGCAAAGTAGATTGCTTTTAGCTATCCTTATTGAAACTGTGCAGTATCGCGGTAACACAAATTACGATGAATTATGAACGGCAATTAATATTATTTCATAAGAGGGAATGTCTCTCTCGTAAAACAAGTATAATTTTTAACAAAAAAAAAACCGACTTCAATCAGAAAATTAAAAACATTGTTAATACCTATAACATTCAATGATGGCCCTCGATTTCTCTGGATTGCCATCATCAGATCCGGGTTTCCTTATTATAATACCACCCTTGGGATATCTCCTTTC